CTCGGATGTTAGTCTCATTCGGCAATTTCGAACCACTAGATGCCGATTTTTCACACTGCTTCACCCATAACTTTCACCCGGTTTGTTTAGTGCGCATTAACTGAGTGCCGAAGCAACTAAATTACGACTTTTCCCAGTGAATAAAAAAAAACAAAAATACTGATGATTTAATTCACAATTTACTAAAGCAACACAATTTCTGTGAAATTGCTCCATCATGCAGCCACATCGATTCCACGATTATCCAACTCAGGAGGTCTACGAGATTGACGGCTCTCAACTGTGATTGTCTACTTATTGTCGCCTGCCCCCCATAATGGGATAATTAGGGTCTCATAGCATTAAATAATGTCTCGTTAACCTCGTTTTTCGTCTTCTGTCAAAGCCACAGCTCAGCCACAGACACCAAGCGAAATGAAGATGAGCAGAAGTACACAAAACGCAATACGAAATGAAATGGAGAGGCATCCAGTGCCTCCTCTCACACATTTGAGTGAGCCCACTACCTTGACCCCGTTCACTTAAATATTGTTCAGTTCGGTGAATTTGAAATAAATTAGTGAGATCAAACTTTGGCTGAGCTAGGAAGCGCGTTATGCGAAAGCGCATTAAGCACTGATGTTCACAGCCCTTCTACTTCAATCTCCACTACAATTTGTGAATTCTAGTGATCCTCATCTTTGAAATGGGTCACTTTATCCTCCGCTTTACCAATGACTTACACTTGAATGAGTATCATGTAAACAAGTGAGAACCCTGTTGCGAGAACAAGCCTAGGGTGGCAGTCAGGTATGAGCAAGAAGCTGCCCCACCCTGCATGCTGACGATTTCATTGAAGTGCTGACAATGTGGGCACCATTTACCATCATTTGCTCTGCCATCTAGAATTCTCAAGGATGCATAACGTGACTTTTGTTGTTTTTATTTTCCAAAATATTAGCAGCCTAATGGAGGCTAAACCACACATCATGCACCTTTTCCTCGGCACCTCAGAGGGTCGCTTTCAGTTCAGCACTTTCAGCCAAATAACTGAACCGCTTGCATTGCATTCATGTGTTAGTTATTGACACCAGCAAGTTGCATTGCAAATTAAATGATAGCCACTTCATTTGAAATACCGTTGTCAAGCAAAATAAAAAGCACAGAACATCTTCAATCTTGCATAACCATTATGGACATCACAATTTTGTCGTTAATGAACGCATTCAGAGCCCTAAGTAATAACAGCAATCAACAGTAGCCGATGAAAGACAACTGTCCACTTACGTTTCCCAGAGAGGATATTGAAGCAATAGTTACGCCAAAAGGATGTGACTCTCAATTTCATAATTGGTTAAGGGGTTTGGACAACGGTACTCTGGAATGACGATACTTAATTTTGAGGCGAACATCATAAGCGGTCGAAATCCCGCTTAGCTTGGTTTTTCGCCCACCCAATTACTTCTCCGTAGCCTGCTTTTGTTTCGACTACGCATAGCTGTTCCTGCACGGCAATTCTAAATTGTGTATTACCATCAACATGCAAGACATAAAACATTCAATGTATTATAAATCCCAAATGATTAGATTTAATCCAATTAAGTGCAGATGCCAAAACAATCTTATTCTATCCATATGAATATGCGAAGCCACTCCATCGATACCAAGAGAATATACGAATCGGACCTTAGATACGATACTTCAAAAGCTTATTCCATAAAATTTCATTCAAATTTACGATTCACAAAGCATATTCAAAAGTCCACTTGACCGCCTCCAAAAGAATCCCACTAAAACGATTTTCCAATTTCTAGACAAGTAAGCAAGGACGTTTCCCTCGGGCTACAACTCACCTTCAGGGCTCGAATTTGACTGGTGTTAACGAATACACACCCAGAGCATTTGTAGGATTTGAGCTCCCTCCACCACAATACCTCAGAATAGGCTAAACAAAACCAAGTTGCCACTTAAAAATCAATCCTCCGGCTCATGAGATTGAATTTATACGGCTAGTTTTATTACAGGAATGGGATACAAGTAAAACCAAAATGATGACCACGTGACATTTGTTTTCCAATTATTTCAAAGATCAATGGATTTGTGAAATAAGCATGCACAAAATATACATGTAAAATGACTTCTACCGCACATAGGATTTGTCAAACAGAAAGTAAATAATGAACGGATCTTCACAACTCCACGTTCCCCATTTCAAAACTTTAATGTACTTGCTCACAGATGTCCAGATAGCCTACGTGCATAGATAGGCAACCAAGGAGACATTATAGGGTTAATTTTATCGAAAGAGTGGCATCCAAGTCTCTCTAGCTAACCACAGTACATGCCTAAACATATCCTTTTGGCGATGGAAATGTTGCACTCTATCTAATATTGCCATAAATGATACACAAACACCAGGTTCCACTGTGTGCCTCTTGTAAATGTACTTGAAACTTGTTCAAAATCAGATGTCGAATGATGCCGACTTCGTGAGATATCCATGCATCCACCACGTGATCGTTCACCTTGTAACTCTGTTAGAACAGTCTCCAATACCATCGCATTGTTGATCGATCTCCTCACCCGATTCCCAAGCTTAGAAACGTGTTTTAGCACATCCCATCTCATGAGTCGCTATTGTATCTTCCAAGCAGGCAGTATGAGAAGGTAACAAAAATACGTGTGGCAATTAATCACCATGTGAAAAGGCTACAAGAGTTCCAATTGAGACAGAAAAGGGGTTGAAAATAAGCACCAAAATCCTCATGACCAGCACTGGACTCACAATATGTGCATCGTTGGAAGGCATGGCTGAGTTGACACGAAAAGTCGAGTGCAGAGCCGGCATCTGTGCTCGTGTGATGGGTGTGGCACTAAATGGAAGTTACGCCTCTGTTGTTTGCACGCCGATGCGTACACACCGCGCAGCGCTATCGACCGGTTTCCATTGCAGTGGGCACAGACATAGTGTTTGCATGTACCTGACAGGTCGCGCAAGGGTGTGCACACCCGTGCGCACACAACACAGGCCAGTAGGTAGCTCATGTGACTACCTCGCCTCCGTGCTGTAGGGAGTAGGGAGGTGATGGATTCCCAAAACATACCTCTAAATACTGAATACATGCAAGCAGGCGCCATCTATTCACGGTCGCCTAACGAGTGCCCTCCTATAAACGCTAACAGAATACAAGCAGATGCGAGGAGTTAGATAAGTACCCGTATGATTAACCATATTTGAGTTTGCTAATTAAACTAATGCAACTAAGGAAACGTGTATAAAGGCCTAAACAATGAGAAGTAACCCTTAGCTGATGGAAATTTTCGATGCTTAAAAATACTAGAGCTCAACAAATGACGTTAGCATGAGAAACCAAAGCCGGTGAACCATGACTGTAAACGAAACCTCAGATGATCATTGCTACTTGTAGCAAACGTCTTTCCGATTTACCCGTCAGGGAAATCTTTAATTGTGACCACTGTTCAAGACGTACTTCCTCATTCGTATAATAGCGTTAGCACCTCGACGTCCACTTCACAGAAAGATCAGTTCCCCATGAAAGTCCACGATATCACTTTTAAACCCACCGAGATTACAGACCATCCGACGTAGACCAATAGGAAGCACGTTTTAGTGCCAACACCCAACCCTAGTTCTAGCAACCTAATCACGAACACATACAAACACCTAATTTCAAATGGTAGGTCGATCAAAAATGACCATAGTGAAGAAAACCCCATGCTTGTACCCATAGAACGGAGCTAAGCTGGGCAATAGAGGGGTGGGAGGAACAGGAAGACAGTGATGGCAGAACCTGTACTCATTTTCAATTAAAAACAGTTCAACGGGCGTACGTTCAGGAAGAAGCGGTGAGGTACAGCATCTTTAAACCCACTTGAGAAAACGTGGTAGAATGCATTGAAGAGAAAAGGGCAAAATGGGCAGCTGATGATAAGCGTACACCGCCTGACTAGTCTACGAGTTCCTTATTTCACCCATGGTGTAAATGTTAAGAGAAACCAAGCACACAAAGGCGAGAAGGGGTAGAGGAAGTTTTAGGTGGGGTGACGGTTACAGAAGGAGGTGGATTGGGAAAACGTTGACACCCTTGCTCAAGATTAGAAGATCAATGGCGCGAATGAGCAGAACTGCCCAAATAGGCATCCATACACCTAGACACGGTCAGTTGTGGCGGCTTTGCGAAAACCATCACCTTCGGAAACGTATCTCTTCCGTGGACTTAAAAAGATATTTGGATCGTCAGTAAAATTGACACATGAAAGAAGGGGAACCAATAAACAGATCTGTTAATAAATGTCAAGCTACGTGAGTATAAAGAACTAGGGTCCATCACACAACGTGCTAAATTTACAGAGTACTCGCCGGTTAATCAATGCATCAATTCTCTGGACGCACGTGCAATGATACTGACTCGCACTGCTTCATTTCAACGCTATGGTGACAAATAAACATGGTTCCAGACTAGTCAGAACGCGTCGACTATGTCGAATACCAAACGCAACCGCCCGACAAGTGCATCATGACAATGTTTACAATGTGATGTTGAACACTCACAAAGTTCAATTTGACAGAGTTGAATTAACTCGTACAACAATGATGGCTGACGGCGATGACAAGTACATTTGGCAACAAAGACTAAGCAGGTGCGACGAGCGAACAAAGGGTTCAACTCCATCCGGAAAACAGTTTACTCGAAAAATGCGGCGCGCGTGAGGAGAACTAGTTTACGGGGGCAGGGCTGCCTCCCATACCTCAAATGTGAGATATGGCAATAGATGTGCAGAAAGTCAAGATAAGAGTCACAACTCGGCACGACGCTAACGAAAGAGGAGGTATGCCATCTTTCGTGTAGAACCAGTTTCAGTGAGATATTTCAGACTTAGGCAAGAATAAACACCAGCAATGGAGTAGGCTATGACTCAGGACAGATTTGCGCAGAAAGGTCTGGAAAATTGTTTCAATGAGGACATAAGGATCGACGACAAAAAAGAACATAGGTAACTCACTTAGAAGGCATCTCGTTCGCGAGCTTTTGAGGCAAAAAACCTTTCGCAACCGCGGCACGCAAGAAACGCTCAAGAAGGACGTATACAATGGGCAAGTCCTGGTGCAATTCAGGCAACTCAGCGTAAACTCTCTTCACACCCATCGTCAGCTGGTCAAAGCTGATAACTACCGAGCGACACAGCGTGTCAAGCAATTCAAGCATGCGATCCGACACATGATCATCAGCTTCACGAGCCAAAACCAAGAGAATGGCCTCAAAAAGATAGGAAGCACTTTATGTGAACTGAATCAAACCTACAAACAAAACGCGATAGTAGATAAAGATGACCAAATCATACCTGATAAACCAATTCATGATGGAAATGAGGTGAGTCAAGCTCCTGAAGCGATGACAGCGCATCCTCAAAACTGCCGGTTCGCAAGTACTCTAGAAGTATGCAGTAAATCTGCTTCATCAGCATGGTGGTAACCCGTTCATTGGGAGGGATGCCCCAAACGATGTCCAAGTGACGATATGCGTGACTAAGCGTGAGCAAAGCCTCTGCTTTATTAATTGCCTGTAAGGCGTAATTTGCAGGCGCATCACCAGAAGACGTCGCGTGAGCACTGCTGTTGCAGCCAGAGCTAACTCCGGAGCTGCTTCGCGTGTTTGCGCCGACACTCTCAGAAATACTAGCACTATCGCGACGAGACGCTATTCGAACTGGAGGGTGAGCTGTGTCAGCGACCACCGGCGAAGTGCCCGCCGGAGGCATCGCAGCATTCACCTCCTTGCACTGCTGAACGAATTTAGGCGGCAAGATATCATCGGCAACGGCTCGAGCAATGAAACGACCGACGTACTGCGAAATGAATAAAGACAATGAGACGGCAAAATGAATAATTTAAAGGACTCAAACACTCACCTCAGGAGCCTTGGGAACATCGATAACGATGTCAGGCATATCGTCCAGAAGTAGCTGAAAGCCTTGCTGCATGCCGGACATGCTTATAACTTTACCGCACATGGCAGATAGAAGCTCAGATGTCAGTTCACAATGCCCCATTTTGTGCTGCAAAGCAAGATTGATTGCCAAAACAGGCAGACGTCTGCGCTGCAATGGAGTCATTGCGACATCCTTCAGGCCATCCTGGAACATTCAAAGGAAGTATCTTCAACGTAGACGAAGAATATTGTAACAAAAGGACCCGCATCTTTCAAATACCTACAATGACTTCCTCGACTTTACAGTGATCATAATATTCATGGACCAGAGTGGAAAAGAATTCTTCAAAATCCTCATCAGAGAGAACGGCTTTAACAGACTCAATGACAACGGGGCTCTAAAGCTCGAAATGCAGACAGAAACTTTTACAACCTCTTCCTCTGACTCATAATCCGGATCATCGTGATCTAGTTCCAGCTCATCCAGTTCATCGCCGACGCGAATCCATACATCCTTGTCCGAAGCTAGAAACTTGTCAGCCAAAAACTAAAGCAAACCCTTCTTCGACGTCTGTCTGAAGCCATTCCGAGACTTCCTGCTGTTTTTCCCATATGGACCTCGAGTGGTCACGAGCAGACCATCGCCACTAGATGTCGAATTTCCGGAAGCCAAAGTTAAACCGTTGACACCCGCATGGCTAATGGAATTGTAATGAGTGCGCCTCTTTCGCAACAGCCGAGGATTTTGACATTTCAAATTTGGCGCCTCATTATCGAAAGCGGGCTTTTCCCAGGTCATCTCTCCAGCAGACTCCTCGCCACTAGCATCCACACAGGAGCCCTCCTGCAATTGTTTGGTCCCAGACATTATACAAAGGATGCTTTCAGTGAAGAGCTTGGGAAAGACAATAGGTAAGTGTAAAGTACAAGAGAGGTATAACCTTCCAATATGCAGCGACGACTGCAACAAAATTAGATATGGTGGTGATCAACGAGCAAAACAATCAATTTCAACTGAGCGGGGATACTTATTGAGCTAAACAAGACCTTTGTCCCAGTAATTGTCGAATTCCAACATTCTTAAGCCAGTATCATGCAATTATTTGTTCCAACTTCCTAATAAATTCTATAAAAAGCATAATTATGTACTAAACATTATTATTGAATTAAAATAATACATCAATCTAAGTAAACATTAGAAAGGGTTACACCAAAATGGGAAGCTGTAAAAATTTTGGGAAAATAATTTAGGTATATAACATTTGCACCTTTTAAAAAGACTTATTTATTATTCTCTTTTGAGATTAAGCGTATTCTACCCAACGTTATGCCTTATTCCACCTAGCGAGAAACCCCAGAGCCCCACACTGGTGACATTGTCAAGCCAAAACCGTAGTGTCCCGAGACCCTTCACAAGGTGAAAGAAGACAGTGGATGAGGCTATATACATGTGTTTCGAAGAAAATGGAGCAACTGTGCCTGAACATGGCCCGAAGAATAGCTTAGGAATACATGAGCCAGAAAAATTCTAAACTGACCGCCAAAAGTCAGGCACTCATATAAACAGCGCATTACACTGCCATGCCAGCCATCGCAAAATATTCAATACTGCAAGAAAGCATCTACGAACCAACAGCGCCAGTCGACAGATAGCATGAGAATGAAGAATCGTTCCTGATTCCATCGGCAGCTCCAACTGAATCTGGAATTACGTTCGGTCTGACAACCAGCACATACATCTTTGATCCTCAACTGCTTCCAGAACTAGACGATGGAGCTCTGGTCGCAATTAAATGCGTCACAGGGAAAACGGTATGAGCTATTGCCCCTCATTTAAGGAGAGTCGTAGTGCCATTTCCGGCACCAAACGGATTTTGTAGGAGGAATTCTGACACGAACCTTTTCCAGATGGTTTACAAGGGGTCGCTTCAGTTGTTAATAGCTCATCAATAGAACACGGGGATAAGGTGAAGCCAAATGCAGGCTTCCACACTGTAGATACATGCACTAAACGGTACGTGGTAGAATAGAATTCATCGGGAAAATATCCGGATTGCTTTCCACTGCCATCAGTAAGTAAGGCTGGATGCATGGCCCGAAGGCCAACCTACGAGCACAAGGACCAGACAAATCCTAAAGCGACCGCCAACGTCAGGTAGTCACATACACAGAGAATTACAAATCCCACTCTTCCAACGACTTTTATCCTAGTACTTACCGTTTGTGGCATATCTTTACAATGTGAAGGAAGCGCATGTTCACGGGCAGGAGTTCCTCTGAACTCTTCATAACAGAAGGGTTGAGAGTGATGTC